TACCCCCCCCCCACCACGCCCCCCCCCCCCCCCCCCACACTAAACCTCCTTTCTCAGGAATTATGTCTTTCAAAAATGCCCAGGTATGCCCATCACATAAGGCCAGTAGTATCACAACAATTTCCAAATGTGATTGCAGCTTTAAGAGTAGGGTAAGGCATTTGCTCTGTCCCTATCTCCCAATTGTGTTCCTGAGTTGTCACACTGTCACATGTTCATCAATGAAGATGAAGTGGCCATATTGCAAAGGCATGATGTACTGTTGTCACCAGAAGGAAACCTTGTGGAGACTCTGGAGTACATGTACATAGACAGGAAATGGATGCAGGAGATCAACAGTGCTGATATGTAACAAAGGATGAAAGGATGAAGAAACAATATATTACTAGAAAAAATGGCAATTATTTATAACACACGACACTGTAGAAAACGAAATGTTATTTACTTAGGGTCTACATCTACTTTAGAGCTCATTCACTCCAGATCCTTTAGCATCCGTTTTTCATCGGATGCCAACACAAGGACATTTGAAAAAGAATGGGCTTGAGTATAATGCCCTCTTATATCCATATTTAGGGTGTAACGTGGAACATTGTGACATCGCCAACCCCTCATCCCCTTCATTCTCCCACCTACCTAAATTACATGGTTCTTCTCCTCATAGGGTTGTGTTTATTTTTGAATTAGGTGTGGCTGTATGGGGCTTCGCCCACAAAACTGCATCATCTCAACTGTAGTTCTGAACTGAATACAATTAGTGTGACTTTACCACACTCTTAGTCCATTGATACTTCCTCACATCCATGTTGCTGAATGTCCATAACTTGATACAGACAGGGACAGGAGAAACAGTCTGTAGGAGCCAGAGCATAGCACCTGTGATCTCCTGATCTACTGGTCATGATTGCAATGCTTTACTAGCTCCAGAGCAAAAAATCATAAATGCAACTATTTATTTTCATAAATATGTGTGCATTTTTATTATTTAAAAAAAAAATAGAAGGAATTAGCCCTTGAGGGCCGGTTCACACCACTTACAGTGCGTTCCAGCGCAGTTAGCTGCTGGAATGCACTGGATCGCATTCTGGCCAGTTCCCTGCATTCTGGAGCGGAAGAGGGCTAGGCGGTGCATTCAAGTCTTCAAGTCAGTGGCACCACAGCCACGCCCCCCTCCCCCCACCTGCAGTGCAATCATACGCACCAGAACACGTGGCACTGCAATGCCTGCATTTTGGTCCAATGCAATCGCAAAAAATTGTACAACCACTATTTTTTGCGATCGCACTGGACCGAAATGCAGGCACCCTAGAATGCAGGGAGATGGCCAGCATGTGATCCAGTGTGTTCCAGCAGCTAACCACATTGGAACGCACTGTAAGTGATGTGAACCAGCCCTCAAAGGCTAAGTGGAGTGAAAAGGCCCTAAGTGAGAGAAAATCTCCACAAAGTCATGAAAAATTCCTCTCTTAGACAGTTGTTACGGGAGCAGGGGTCCCAAATGGAAGATTTCCCCTCATTTCCTGTTTTGGTGACAACTCAAATTTTGTATTTGCCATCACTTTCTGTCTCACTGACAATAGTCACTAGGATAAATGCGTGAATCCCAGAAGGTACACAGACAGCAAGAAACACTTGCCAGGGGTTCTAATTCTTCCCTACTTTATCCAGATAAAAAAAAAGTTTTTACTATACATAGAGGTGAATTTATCAAAAGTGGAGCAGACAGAATCTGGAGCAGCTGTGCAACCAATCAGCATCCACAGCATCCAAACTGAAGAGAGAAGCTGATTGGTTTCCATAGGCAACTGCTCCAGATTTTGTCTGCTCTAGTTGTCATAAATACCCCCCCCC